TGTCATGGTACGGATGTGGTAGAGGCACGCGTGAGGAGCTTCAGGACGAAGTATATCGAGTTTGGAGGAGAGAGGAAGAGTTAAAGAGAGTGCGAGAGAGAAGAACGGAGGCGTATTCGAGGAGGAGTGTTGGAAGTGGAGGTCGAAGTTCGTGGTTTCGATTAGCGCCAGCCGTCATTCTAGTCAGAGATAGTCAGAGCAAGATGGTAGTAGGCAGTTTGGTCAGCAACCATCTGTCGTTGAGAACGAGTGGCTAGGAGGCAGACAAGAGAAAACTGGTAAGAAGGAACACAGAATCGAATTGTCCTTCTACTGCGCATACTACTTCCCACAGTCACAAGTGCGCCCGACTCCATCGCGGCTTTGACCTTTTTGCCTATGTCGGTGCTAGCAGCTACAGCATCGCGCAAGATGTCGCCCGTAGCCAAGTGGCAGAGATAGTACTCGTCTTTGTTTAAAAGCGATTGCGTACCTTGTATATATACGATTTTGAAGGAAGGGTGTGAATCTAAGGAAAAGAGGTGTAAATTTAGCAATTCTTTATATATATCAATAGCTCGCACCTTCATTCAGGATGAAGAAAAAGATCAGATGATAAATTGCGACACGCCCTCGATAGAATTAGAGTTTGTATGATATAGAATGTGTGTATTCGCTTAACTCTTATATTCAATTTCAGGATACAGATTGATCATATATATTTCCGATCGCAGCAACCACTTTATGCAGCTATTATGTAAGAAATTGATTAATGGATAGAGATAAGAGCTCTTAATCCTATCATGGTTATTGGAAGTTGCGGCATTTAAACAATATTGAGCTTCAAACATTGCCAAAAACTTTGCTAAATGTTGGTAATGGAATCGAGAAGGCGTTTAAATTGTGATGTGTTTGACGTAGAAAAAAATATTGTTCATATTCCTATGGATTTTAAAACGAATAGTAAGCGCAAACAAGGGCGAGGAAAGATCAAATTTTTGCACTTGCTTCGCAGTCATTCGGCGTATTCTGCAATGCTTGGGTGTCCAATAACCTTATCCATATATTTGTCGACACATCCCTATCTGTTGTTGTTATTGTAATGGTATTTGATGTGTGCTGGCGAATAAAGAAGCTTATTGTACCACGCAACAAAATAATTTGTTACCGCTACCTGTAAATCACACATTCGACACCTCCGCTTTTACATACATGTACGAATATATGTGCAGCTCTAAATGGCATATCGGAAGGTGACTAATAATTACTGAAGGTTCATTACGGTCCTGGTCACAGCAAATTAAATTATACTACATTATCTGTAAATGATGTGTAATTTTAAACAATAATTATATGTAAGTGATGCCTAAAAGTATATACATATGGGTATGCAATGCTTTCCTATATAAAATGTAATAGATCGCTTGAAGAAGTCTGGCATAATTGAATGACCAGCTCTAACTGTCATGAAATAACGATGTGTCGAAAAAATGGCAATCGGCCGAAGAATATTGACCTGCAGTGTTGTCTCTACGACCGTTCATTTTAGTTGACTGCATATAGGTAATAGGTTTAAGCACAAGGTTTGTACATATATCGTCTTTAATAGAACCAAATGCCTTAGCTTGACTTTGAATTATAACACGTCTATAGTTAATATGCTTGTCGCCTTCTTTGGATTATCCTTATTTGTCCAATGTAACAGGATGAGCTCGTGACATGTCACAAAAGTATATCTTAAAGAAAGTATTTTTTGTCGATAATGTTTACTTCTTTCTGTATCAATACGGCAGAATATTACATTCCACCGTAATAATTATGTCTGTTCTAATCGTATATTACAATAAGCCATAGCATGTATAAAATACATCACTAATCGCTGCTGGACGTGCGCAATGTTAATGAAACGCTTTTTTGCATTTGAAATAGTAGTTTAATTCACCTGGAATAGATTTTGTCAAATTAATAAGCGTGGTTTGGGCAACAGGGTGAGCCCGTTTCATAAAAATTGTAGAAAGTATCACTTTTGAACACTATCTATTTCGACAATTTTCAAATGACATTACTCGTTAGGAGTAAGGTTGATGGAATATTGACCCCGAGGGTAATATTTCATTGATGGGTTGCTCCAAATGATGGTTGATGTTCACGGTACATCAAACAAACTGACCACTAATCGCTGATGGATGCGCGCAATGGGTGGTGAGCAAGAAACCCACATAGGAGATTGTAGGTTAATACAGTTCGATTATGACAAAAAAAGTGGTTTATTAAGAAACAAAACTATATTAAATACAATTCACTTTTCCGTTAGACAGAGCTTTCGAGTTTTGCCCACTTCGCTGCGCTTCCTCACGCTACGTGTACGTGACGTCGGGCGTACACAACCTTGTGTTGAATTGACACAAGGCGTATCCGTTACAGGTTTCGAGAAGAAACACGACATATCAGTAATGGCTATATTTTATACCTTTTATAAACATTAACGTTTGAGAAAATTGAATTTTTTTGCACGTACCCTGTAATTGTTGTCACACAACACCTGCTGATTCTAATATAAATGTTGGTAAGTTGTACATATATCAGTAGTAGCTGAAGATGCTCTATTACAGTCGACTCGCTATCATGCTAGTTCTGATACTGCTGAGAAAATGTTTTAGCGCCATGGGTGCAACGCCTTCGCCATCTTCAATTTCAAGCATAATGTCTGGTGTCGCATTAATAGCTCAAGACAGTCTTCTCTTTTCATATGCCTGCGTGTTGACCAGAACTTTTTGATAGTGACATTTTTGATTGGAAAATATTACATTAAGCGTGGCTTCGTACTTGTGCAAAAGACCGTGCTCAACCGCACTAATTTAACTTGTGCTTAAAATCTAAATGACTTACAAAGAGTAGCTTCCCTTTTGATTCATTATCACCTGACCCACATTGCACAATAGCTTTGACTATCGGGCTTTTAAAAATAAAGACAAAAATGACTTGTAGATTGCAGTAAGCTTGTGGCCCAAAAATCTGTTAGAGTTAAGAACAATCGACAACTTTAAAACTATTCGCTTTTGTCTAATATAATTAGGGAATTGCTAAATTCACACCCCCTTTCCTTAGATTCACACCCTTCCTTCAAAATCGTATATATACAAGGTACGCAGTCGCCGTTGGACAAAGACGAGTACTATCTCTGCCACTTGGCTACGGGCGACATCTTGCGCGATGCTGTAGCTGCTGGCACTGACATAGGCAAAAAGGTCAAAGCCGCGATGGAGTCGGGCGCACTTGTGACCGACGAGATTGTCGTCGTTATAATTAAGGACGCCATCAAGAGTTCGGAATGCTGTCGTGATTTTATTCTTGACGACTTTCCACGAACGGTCGTGCTGGCCAAAAAGGTGAGAACAGGAGGAGATACAGACGAGAGTCCACTTTGCAACGCAGAGGCTGACCGTAGTTCCCTATTTTAGTATGCGCAGTCCTCGCAGCTAAATTGGACCCACTGTCCTTCAATGACATTTCTTGGGCTGGCTGGGCGTACGTGTTGTACATAACAGTGAGAATGATCCTCAAGGCGCGTGAAGGTGGCGATCTGGACTGGAGCCAAGTGGCACAAATCACGTGGGACGTTGTGTCACTCAGTTTCGAGAGGAGGAAGCATGTTTTTGCGTGATGCCCTATCAGTAAACGCTGGAGGAGCTAGATCGCAGGCATGAGTAGTATCTTATGTATTTCTTACGTATTACTTGCCAATTAATGGCCTATATTATTGAGTAATACCTTTATCAAAATCAAAATCTTCAAATGAATAGGGATTTTATATATAAGATTTTGAAGGAAGGGTATGAATCTAAGGAAAATGGGTGTGATTTTAGCAATTCCCTATTCGAAGCAGATATACATGCTACATACAAGAAAATCTATAATTAGCAATACGAAGTTGACATACATTCACCAAGTCTATCTTGTCATGATTAACAACAATAAGAAGATAGTTGACATTCAGAATGCACATTTTATACTCCTTCTTTATTAGCTGCGAAAAAGGTTCACAGGGATTTGAAAGCGTGTAATACATTCGAGTCTAAGCTTAAGTCTATCGTACGCACCATATCGGACCAATACGGTTTGTAGTACTTAATTGCATAAGCCTATGTCTAAAACGCAGTATGCTTAATGTGTGTGAGGTTTGAAAGTTTAACAATCAGTATTAAACTTTCTGGCTCAAAATAGAAGATCCGCGAATGTAAAAGCCCCAATACGTGTTCATGACAAATCTGCAAAAACAGATTTGCATCTTATTTTGGCGTCGATGGAAGTGGTATTTTAAAGCTACATTTGACGACGATTGTAGCTAAAACGTAGATTGTTGCTGTAATTCGTAGATAGAATTTGGTACGTCTCACGTAAGGTGGCATTTAATTTGCCCGAATGGGGTTTACAGTATACAGTATAAACTCTTCGTATGCCACGCTGATTGGTTTAAACGACTCTACGTGCGAAATCGTGTCCGTAAATGATTCTAATACAACACGCGGTGTCGTAGTCAATCTGTTCAATTTAGATTATGGTTATTGCATGTTATGTCAGCTAGTCAGGTCTACCCATCACACTTTTTGGCGTCGTGGTGATGAGAACATCTAATCAATTCCGGAATTTAGTCCAATGAATGGCACTAGAAAACCCCAAACGGTAAGTGCAATTTCTGGTGTAGCACCATGCATAAAATCTGATTTAAAAGGGGGATTTGATTTCCACACCAGCCAAAGAATACACCGCTCGCGTTCCTCGCGCCGTCAAGTCCTGCAACCACCCTGACCCAGCATTTTCTCATGTCCCGGCTAATTTCCATCGCCCTCAGCGCATTCGTCTTGGGGCGTCCTTCTCCACTTTATAAGGACGGTCGAGTCGATGCAATTACCCACCAACAACCATCGAGCCAATACATAAACGCGACGTCCGACTCGCCAAACCTTACGAAGCCGGATGGCACTGGTGTGGACTTCACCACTCTTGTCGGCCGAGGCCAGATGAAGACAAAGGGCTTCGCAACGGACAAGATAGACGCTAAGGGCCACTCGAGCGAGGAGCGGATGGATGTGGTTCCCCTCGAATCATTGTTGGCCCAGTTCGGCGAGTACTTCACGAAACTTCCCTTGTACAAATTCAGAGAACTCGGCCTCGAAAAGGGACAAATGGACGTCCAAAACTTCGTGACGTGGCTGGATCTGCTCTCTCGGGTTGTCAAGAAAGACCCTACGTGGAAAAGCGAGAAGGCTGTCGATATGCTGATGGAAGCTGGAGTCACAGTTGAGGCGGTTAAGGTGCTTTTAAAGCTTCAAGGCCACAACAAATTCAGCAAACAGGCCATCCAGATGTACAGGTATATTGCTGAAAATGTTCCAAGCGATTCCGATGCGATGGTTCAGGTATGGAAAGACATGAAGTTGAACCCTTACCATGTTTTTGAGAGTCTCGCATTGTACCGTCCCGACTCAATTTTTCTATCACCCGGATCTTCGATACAATGGCTTAAGTACACTGAGCGGCTGAGGAAAGACAACGCAGACATCCAGATGACCATTGAAGATATAGCGACGGCTTTATACGACAAAGAATACGACCGTACAATCATTGCCAATTTTATGGAGAAGGTTGAGAAAGTGGACGATCTGGCACTCCTTGCCAAGCCGCTGCGTCACGAATTTGAGCTTCTTACACCGGGCCGTATTTTCGAGGCCCAGAACTAGCTGCGCTTCATCACTCAAACACGGCAACACGGAGTTGAACAAAATCGTCCGAGAAGTTAGAATAGCGTTGACGAGAAGACTCTATCGATGCATCCATTTCAATCTAGCTCTTGTACATACGTACGTAGTAAACCTATTACCAATTATGAATATAGGTCTTGTGATCATTGTACTTATGCAGGTTGTCAAGAAGACGCTGCCGAGGCTTTACTGGATCTAGCCATGTACAGTTTGCGGGCTACACAAAGCTGTCACGACGCTTAATTAAGTCGGTTGGTAAAATAATGATACGATATGGCCTCTAAGAATTACGTTATATTACGTTTATGAAAGATTCTCTCACCGAGTAGGAGTCTAATGGTGATACCACGATGGTGTCCTGTCCTAATTCCACGTCTTGACTAGTCGACAGTCTAGGAAAGGCTATCACGTTTGTATCCAAAAAATGCCCTTCACTTCCTCAGCAAGCAATATATCATCACAATTGATAAACATATCGCAATGTCCGCATGCTCGTTGCTCCGGGTTTCACTCCATAACTGTCTACATTATTCGCCTAGCAAGCAGTCAAAAGTCATTTGCGTGACAATGCACATCGCTATGCCTTGTAGTTAAAGCAAATGACCGCAAATTGCAGCTTCGGGCATTTATATCGTCCTGGCATGCTCATTACAGCATTCTCTTACTTGTCGATTTGGTCCTGTCTACACAATGACTAATGTAATTAAAGTGTTGAGCGCATGTAGCCACTAAATGAATTCGGATTCGATACCAATACCATTCGATCTAAATATGACTGCGTAAACTCCAACATCAAATTGTTAGCAAGATCCGCGTATCTGACTACATCTTTATCTAAATGCTATAAAAAAGTGGTCTGTTCTGCAAGATAAAGTTTGTTAACAAGCCCCATCATCAGAATTTCTAGGCGCGCGCGCATTTTAAAGTTGTGATATTAATAGCGCCTTGTTTTACTCTGCTGTTCTCTCATCTGTCCGTCTCCGGCCTTTGTTCTTCACTGAATGGACTTAGAAAGACTAGATTTATCGCCTGTAATGAGTGGATTCGACGCAAAAGATCGAATAATACAGACGGAAATTCGTCACTTGTCATTTCTGCTTCACTTGTTCTCATAGAATAAATTCTTGTGATTCCACAATAAGCAACAATGGACTTTTACGCCCTACATGTAGATACGAGTTAGGGCCCATTCTTACAAGTGCCGTGAACATAATAAATCTGCTACGCCACCCCTATGCAAAAACATACTGTCTTCGGTGCGTATAGAGGCTATGTAACGGGGCACACCCTTGCGTGAACTTAACGCAAGGGTATCGGTGCCCCGACAGACGTACACAAGGCAAGCGAGGAAGCGTAGGTAAGGTAAAAGCAGAACTGTTATTTTAATATAATTAAGTTTTTTAAATACTGTCTCTCTGTTTGACTTAACTTAATTATGCTAATATAACTGAGTGTATGGTGACGTCTCGTCACCACTCTGTAACGGGGCAGCCCGTTACATGAAATTGTCACTTTAAGGAAAGTGACAATAAAGAATATAAAGATGGATATTCTTTAAACAATATCACCAAAGTGGTGATATTGAAGGGTCGACCAAAGGGTCTGTTCATTGGTTGATATCGTGATGATATCAACCCACCAATCGCCGCAAGACGCGCGCAATGAGTGGTGACGAGACGTCACCATACATGCAGTTATATTAGTATAATTGAATTAAGTCAAACGAAGAGACAGTAGTTTAAAGACTTAATTTATTAATATAACGGTTCTACTTTTACCCTACCTACGCTTCCTCGCTCGCCACGTGTACGTGCGTCGGGGCACCCAAATCCCTTGCGTTAAGTTACGCAAGGGTGTGCCCCGTTACACCTGGTAGCACTTTGTAGTCCTTCCAAGGACCACATCATCCAACATGAACATGTTGGATGAAGAAGACACCTTTCACGCCACGCGTGAAGGGTTTACCCATTTGAGTGACATCGAATGGGGTGCGGTAGAACGAATGAGTTCTACCGTAGGCGAACTCGTCGTCAGCACCATGTTGGAGTCTCTAGACAGAGACCAACAACATGCCGCTATCGCCAAGTTCATTCACAATGAACTTGCTCTCGAGAGGGAGAAAGTAGCCTTGCTTCACCAGCAAGGCTCTCAACAGGCCGAGCAGTTGTGATAACTCGGTGCTCAACAGACGGAGCTGTTGAGACAGCAGCAATTCCATGCTGCTGTGGGCGGGACGGCGCATGCGCGTCGTCCCGAAGTCATGATAGTTGACATCTCCAAGTACAGTGGAGTCCCGGAGGACTCCCTGTTACTATGGTTTGTCGAACTCGACAGAGCCCTAAGGGCTCGTCGCGTCGAAGATGAGCAAATGAAACTCACATTTGCTCAGACCCACTTGGCAGGGCGTGCCAAAACTTGGTCCCTGGGACTCGAGAGTAGCGACCCAAACGTGTTTAGGTCGCTAGATGACTTCAAGTCCCGGCTCAGACAAACTTTTGAGCCGCCACGTGCTGAGTTCAGGGCTCGTTCAGAGCTCCTGAAACTCAAGCAGGGTAAGCGTGATGTGCACGCTTACGCACAACATATACGACTCCTTGCGAGTAGTATAGCTGTCAACCCAGTTCATGAACACACGTTGATTACGGTGTTCATGCAAGGGCTCGCAGAAGGGCCCGTCAGGAGCCACCTGTTCCGCCTTGAGCTGAATACGCTTGAAGAAGCGATATCAGCCGCGGAACAGGAAGACTTGAGCATGAGACAGGCTCATGCTAGCTCAAACTCTTACCGTCCACCGAGACGACAAGAGATCGGAGGTCCAGAACCAATGGACCTCTGTTATGTTGAGAGCGAGAGACCTCGCTCTACAAGCAACAAGCGATTGCAGAGGTGCAATCGCTGTCATAAGTTAGGGCACTACGCATACGAGTGTAGTGCTCCGCGCCCAGTACCAAACAGTACTGAGCGAAATGGACGACCATTCGCCAGAAAGGGCAATGGGCGTGGGTCCAGCGCTGTTGCGAAGCCGCAACAGCGAGACGGACCATCAAAAAATGGTCGGGGTCAGTAGGGGCGGAGCGCCCTACTGATCCAGCAACCTCAAGAGAATTTGCAAATCTCTTGACGAAAGTTGCTCCAGATACACAATCATTGTGTGTCTCTGCACCTGGTGATGACGTTTCGCTCATCACCTTGAAGTTGGAAGCGACAAATGATTTGTCGCTTCGTGCCCTAGTAGACTGTGGGACGTCGAACAACTTTGTTCGTCGCCAGTCACTAGAGGGTCGTAGGCTCAAGTTCGTTGAGCGCGACATTCCCCTCACAAGGATGACGGTGCGCCTTGCAACAGGCGCATCGATAACCATTGAGAAACGTGTAGTAGGAATCCACTACACGTTAGAGGGCGAACAGTACGATGATGACTTCATCGTACTAGATCTGGATGACAAATTTGATGTCATCCTGGGATTACCTTGGCTCAGAAAGTACGAGCCAAGGGTGAGATGGCAGCATCGATCCGTGAAGATGCCTGCTGCTTGTTCATCAGATGGCCATCTGATGAACATCTTGGAGCGTCCACAAGCGTGTGGATGTTCTGCGAGTGAGTGCGATGGCCTCACTTGCGGTACGGTCGTTAGCACGACTGCACAAGATCACAGTGAAGTTGATCACTACACTGTAAAGCAAGCTCCCGGCGGCTGTACAGATGTACAGGCTGCGCCGAAGGTCCACCACTCGAATAAGTCGAGTGGACCGGGACATGGATGCATGCCTAGCGGGCAGCATCTTAGAAGAAAGAAACCTGTTGCCCCCAAGGGGCAACATGAAAATCCTAGGTCGACTGGAGAGTCGACCGTAGAGGATCGGTTCCTGACTGTGGTTGCACAGCCACAGTCGGAAGACGTCGAGGGAATAAGTCCCCACGTACTTGAGGAAGGAATTCCTCAAGAGTCGCTTGCTGAGGGATTAGGCCCTCAGCAACCTGTGGAAGCAAGTTCCCAGGAAGAAACCGAGACGTTGAACGTCTTAGTTAATGACGGATCAAGCGTAGGCGCTTATACGCTTGATCTGATTGTGCCTCCGAAGTTGACTTCGGAGATAACTCAGTTGCCAACGCTAGAACCGAAACGGTTCTTGCGTGATCTGCGTAGTGGCAAAGTCAAGCAGATCTGCGTACTCGTCACAGAGGACGAGTATGTGACCGACATTCGGTCGGCAACAGTATTTGCTGAGAACGAACGGGTTCTCAGCAGCTCATCGATGGACGAAAGTGTCCTCGATGAGAAGACTCGGATTGAGCGATACGCGTCCCAATCCTGGAAGTCGCTTAAGGCTAATTCTTTGTATAAGGATTTGATCGAATTCAAGGATGTGTTCCCTGAATCCGTACCTTGCGAGTTGCCTAAGGACAAAGGCACTCGACACGAGATCGAGCTCAAACCGGGCTCGAAATACTGTGTCATGAAGCAGTGGCCACTGCCTCGTGAACAAGTGATAGCGATCGACAAGTTCTTTGCCGATCGCTTAGCAGCGGGCCATGTGAGGGAATCAACATCCCCTCACAGCTCTCCGACCTTCTGTGTGCGAAAGGCCACAGGAGGGTGGCGGATAGTGCACGCATTCAACAAGCTGAATGCTGCAACGGTACCGGCTCAGACACCGATACCGAGGAAGGACGGAATCATAGATGGTATGTCAAAGAGTACCATCTTTTCGTCCATGGATCTGATGGATGGATTCTATCAGATCCTGATGCGTGAACAGGACGTCCCGTTCACGGCAGTGAGTACCCCCAGCGGGATGCTGTGGGAATGGCTAGTTATGCCACAGGGGCTGAGCAATGCCCCTGCTACTTTCAACAGATGTGTAACAAATCTGTTGAGACCGGTGCGAGACGTCGCACCGAGTTACTTCGACGATGTGTTCGTCCATAGCCGAGCTATGGACGGAAAGACGGACGTTGAAGTTCACAGAACTCACAT